CAGGGTCAATATGGGTGCTGAGTCGGGATCGAGATAGGTAGATTGAGATCGAGGTCACGCCAGGCGCGAGTCGGTGCAGATGCGGTCACATTACGAAAATCTCACCCGCGGTGAGTCAAGCCAGGCTTGAAACTCAGGGGTCAGGAGTGGGGCTTAGTGCAGGGGCAGATCCTGAGATGTCCAAAAAAGGTGGGAGCGGAATGATGCCAATCGAGATAACAATACCCTATGGGGTCCGGGGGCAGCCCCGCAAAATCTCTGAGTTTTAGATAGCCAAAAAATAACCTCTGAGGCCTTTTGAGCGATAATTTTTTTCTTTCCTTTTTCTTTCTTTCAGGGGCGGCCCCCCGTTTAATTCCGCCCCTGTAGTGGTCCATGACAATACAACATTTTGCATAAATTGTTTTGTCTTACCTCACAAAATACTTTGCGTGCCATTCCCTCATAGAACACACCAACGATGATTCTTGCATCTTCTCGCAGAAGATCTCCAACAGCGTTGTCAGGATCCGTCAAAAAACTTTGACGACTAACTATTTCAATATTTGCTTTTTTGGCTCTTTTTTCCAAATCTTCAATTGTCTATTATTAACAAAATGAGAAAACAATATATTTGAATATAGGCACACATCATGTAGTCTTCTCTGGTACAAGTCACCCAGGACAGTAATATTCTGTTTATGTTCTGATAGTCAAATTCAGTTCCATCTTATAATGTAGCCCCTCACAATCACCCAATTATTACTTTGAAAGATGACTTGCGACTACAGAACAGGATGAGATTACAGGTTAACTATTCATTTTTATATACCATAATAAAGTAAATCTTTAAGACATGTTTAGTGATATTACAGTGCTTGATTACAATACCCTACTGTACATCTGCATCATGCTAACAAAGCCTTCATCTGCTTCACATGGTATTCAGGTTCCTGAGACGAATTCCATAATATTGCAGGGGCTATTATACCCATTTAAATCAAAGAGTATAAATAGAACAAGAGAGCAAAGTCCCATTCGTAAAAACGTCATGCCTGTGTAGGACGCCAACTAACGGTTGTATATTCTTTTTATTACCCAGTGCAGCGCGGTAGAAGTACGCCCGCTATAAACTCAGTAAGCAGAAAACAAAAGTACAGTATCTTGTAGAGAACAGATAAACAGACAAACCTACCGTGCGCGGTGGAGTACTGGGTAATAAAACACATACAAGCGTTAGTTGGCGTCCTACACTAGCTGCGTAGAGCGTATCGTTTTTTTACGCTCTCAATGAGCGTTGTTGGCTCTCTTGTTCTATTTATACTCTTTGTTTAAATGTACAAGGTACCTCTTACAGGTGGCAGACATATCTTAACCCGGACTTTCTATAACTATGCTGCAGACACTACACGACCAAGACATTCATGTTTTTGAAATGTCCTGACACCCACCCTTCAGGATGCAAAACGGCAATCTTAAGTAAAGTGCTTTGCCCAAGGCAAATTCATACTTGGATTTGACTACTGACCTCAAAGTTGAACCTGCAAACGCTTCCCTAATCATTCCAATTTGTTGCAAAATTAATTTTTATTTTGTGAGTCAATATATCAGTAGTCTATTTTTAATGGCTAAAAATAAGTAAATCAAAGCAGGATGAATTAATAATAAATATTTCATAACACTTTCCTAACTTACTGAATACTAACATACAGTACATGATAAAAACATGGCACAAATGTCAGAAACAACGCACCTCCCTTCAATGAATTACAGGCAGACTTCCTAATTGGTTATGAACCAGTATACCAACCAATGTTTCTCAGTACTGCGGGTAGACACGTCCTGTTAATATTGGGTTTGTAAAAAATGAAGTCACTGAATAAGGCAGTGTGCAGTACACTTTCCACACATGTTGAGCTGCTAGCCCCTTTGTATTGAAAAGTTACAGCACTCAAAATGCTAAAGCTTTACAATAGCCTCTCAGATATCATAATTTTTTCTATCATATTTGTGTTGTTCCTCAAGGCACATTTCATTTTTGACATTCATTAGTGATGCTCCACAAGAAGCTGCAGGCAGTGAAACTCTTTCGCTTTGGGTGATATTTTAAATATGAATCATGAAAGATGCCAAAATGTGATCTCAAATGGAGTAATTATATAAAATTGCAAAGACTTGCCACATCATGACAGTAGCTTCTTGTCAAGTCCAATACCTTTCTCCTTCTTAGCATATCAATTTGAAAAATTCAAAAACTTTTAGATCCATGCTTTTTTCCATTATGGTAAGGAAACTTAGTACAATAACGAAATGAAATGAAATTACTGATGTAGACCCCACATGCCAGTATGTCCCAAGACCGCTATAATCCTCTTGGTGGGAGTCGGAAAGGAAAGAAAACAAAATTTAAAGTAATCAAAGAAATTTGAAAAAAAAAAAAACCCCTACTAAATCTGACCACATTCATATATGTATATGAATTACGCCGTGTGTGTGAACATACCCTAAGCCTCATACAGAGACTTGGTTTATAAAGCATCATTCCATCCTGCAAGTGGCAAGTGTACTTGGTGTTGGATGTGAAGAAAAAAAAAAAATTAAATAAACAATAAACTTCATTTGTGTGTGACAATGTCATGTTTAGTCAAGTGCTGCAAGTACAACATTCAAGTAATCTTTTCAGTCATGCAGGAAGCCTAACATGTTCATGATTGCATTACACGTACCCCATGAGTGGAATACATTAAGACATCGATCTTCATCTAATATTAAAGGTATTTTCTCATTTCAAAAATTAAGAGAGAAAATTTGCTAGGTAACATTGATAAATCCCAACTTAATCAGGAAGAAGTTAAGATGGGTTTTTGCTCAGTTTGATATATTCAGCGAAGGGCATTAAAATGAGTATTAATCATGTACCGTATACGTGTAGCTGCCTTTGATCCATGGTGAGTGATCCTAGTCATGTGGGTAATAGCCTTCTATAGATCTATGGACTGCAATTCACATAATTCAGAGACAAAATACAGAGGTCCCACGTTGGAAGAAGCCACTTCTGGGAACTCTGGTCTGGCTTCTTAAACACATTTAATATTAGTTTACAGCACATGTTGATAACCATCGGCACTGACTTTGGAAACATGCAAATATTATAAATATGCAGGAGGTGAATAATTTTCTAGGAGATTCTTGCTTGCTTGCAGGTGTTCGGGAGACTGTTGACTTGATTTCAGGGAAACCTTCGCAACTTGAGGAAGACCTGCGACCCCTGCTAAATATCAATCATGGATGAACTCATCACAGCATTTTTAAGTAAAAACCAAAAGCTCTAATCCATAGACGTGATGATTAAATAATATATGATATGATTGGATTTTACATCCATGTTGCCTGGGGCTGGAAAGCCTATAAATACAGAAATGTGAAAAACATTTTTTTTTTTTTTTTTTTGAAATTATATTCCACATTGTCTTTCAATTAGAATATTTTCAAACAATATGGTTTCATTTCTTGTAATAGACTGAAAACAGTAATTAAAGTAATTGCAAGTGTGCTACACAATTAAAGGAATTATGTTGAAATTTGCAAAAAAAGAGCAGCAGAGAGTCGGACATCGCAATTTCCTCCAGGGGATTTAAAGGTAAATCTATTGATATTCTACAATGCTATCAATAAGTCTACATAAACTCAACATGTAAATCACTATATGTTTTAATTATAACCTTCCATTAAAATAACAAGATTGTAATCCAAATAAATATAAAGACATTACAACATTTTTCAATCTATTTGATATTTTAGTATATGGTCATATTTTATCTGTCCATATATATTTATAACAGCAAGAAAATAACTCAGAATCTAAGTAAAACTGACCAATAGAAATGAAGTAAAGTAATGTAACAAGCCATTAAAACAGAGGTATAGTTACAAGGTAAGATTTATATCTTAAGCTAAACAGTTAATGGCAAAGTATAACAAACGATAATAAGTGGAACATGTGTCTTCCATTAATAAGTCTTCAGAGTTTTCATTTGAAAAAGGGGCAGCAATGAAAGTGATTGTTATATATTGTGTGTTTTACACAGCACTAAATACTATCAATAATTTCCTTTTTAGCAGTAAGACACAGATAGTCGAACTCGCCATAGATGCATAAACATGCTCAACTTTCTGCTCTACAAAGATGAAAACATCCCAACTATTACACCACAGATGATATCATAGCACGTCCTCATGGCAGCAGAATTATAATAACATGGTTCTTATATCAACAAGGTCCATGATTGAAATGTAGGAAATAAGGCTAAATATTGGTCTGCTCTATACACACCAGAACGTGTTCGTGTCCTTTGGTCTGAAAAACTTTAGAAATTAAAATCTTAAAAACATCATAGAACCTATAGTATTCTTCTTTTAAGCAAGTTCACAAAATCTTCTGATGGTAATTAAACTCTGATGTTGTGCTCTGTCCAATGTTTCTTGGGTAACCATATTCCTAGCTCCAAATTACATGGTGCAATTTCTTCACATCAAGCGAAATCAGGCAGCATTGCCTTCAGTCAGATATGGTTTTCCACATAATTAGTGCAAGTCACAAACCCCCTTTTTTTTAAAAGTCAACCTAACATTACTCTACATCGTCCATTAAATTGGATAAAAAACTGGCAGGTTACCTCTCTCTTATGAAATGCCTATAGGAAATACTGGGTGAAAAAAGCCACCAAAACTCTCTTTATTATCATATGTTATTTCTATTTCTATTATTTGATGAAATTGAACACATGACCTCAAGAAACTAGCCTGTATTCCAATGGTTTTTGCATTAGGAGATTTAATAGGAATGATGTTTTGCTCTAACTGACATGTTATCGTACTGAATGCTCAGTATGTTCCCAAATACTTCAAAATTTAATCACCAGCTTTATATTAGAATATGTACTGTGCTCCATTTAATCGGTTGCATAGAAGAAATGAAGTTTTGTTGTTCTAATGAAGAAGTCTTCATCATTATTTTCTATGATGCTGAATTTTGTCAAAAATCAAATAAAAAAAATCCAAAAAAAAAAAAATCAATGGAAATAAATTATTTTACCGAAGTGAAGACCTCTTGAGTTTCTTGAAGAACTGCAATTTTTTTCCAACCAAATTCTTGACACATTTTTATTCGAGCAGGGTTGTTGAGTGTAGCTGATGGATGTGTTCTGAAAAATGTTGGAAATCGCTTACGATTCGATAGAGCTGGTGAGCTGGATCCATATGATACCTGTTGACATAAAGATTAGAATATTATGAATGCCTCTGTTCAGCTTTAATTATAAACATTTTTATAAAACATAGACAAAACAGTGATTAACACTACCAGTATCAAGACTTTAAATATAACTGTGAGATTATCGCAGACAGTGTATCTTTTTAAGCAAAAGTATACTGAAATATAAACATTGAAAAAAATTCATCTGGTTTCTTGTCTCTATACAAATTTCCATTTGTGAAAGCAGCCAGAAATTAGCAGTGGCGGACCGTTAATGCAAGCAAGGTATACAGTGCATACCCTGGCTAAAACAAACAAATAAATGTATAGTAGCACAGTTTTTCCAATTTATTTAGCATTTATTATTCAGAATATCCTATATACCGTAAACCTTAACTTTTTGAGAGGATTGCTACAGTTCATTGGAATAGCAAAGTTAGAGCAATTTCAGTTTGAAGATGTTGGCGGATTGGCAGTGAAACATTATAGGTAAATTGTTACCTATATTTTATGGAATAACATAACAGTTAAAACTCACACAATTTTAACTTGGAACCAGATGAATTTATTCAACACAAAACATCCGCTTTTGATGTATATTTTAATGTCTGTAGTCTAAAAAAAACTGCAATAAAATCATTAAATATTTTTAAAGTAGTCTTTTATTGAAGGGAAAATTTTCATTTTGGTCTGCGAACACCACGGTTTTTGGTGTTTGATGACCTATAAGAGACTTGCACTAAATGTGGTCTTTAGATATTTCTATTTAGAGGTGAATTAAGAAACAATACATTAAATGTTTAGAATGAATTAATTTTTAGTTTTTTCCATCAAAACCACGGTGTCTAATTGGAAGGAGCAGCTAATGATAAAAGACAGGCATTAAACTGGACTGTAGAAAAGTGGTCTTTCATTGGAGGTAGTATTTAAATAGAGGGGTCTTTATTATTTTATTATGAAAATTTGGTAAACAATAAATGGAAAGGTTAGATAGCCACAAAATCATCATGACTGGTGGCAGCCTCCCCCTTACCTTGACTCAACCTGTAAACATTACCTTTAACCATTTTTAAATTTTGTAAATACTATACTAATTTATAGGTTTGCTACACATCTCAATTGAAGTATCTTGGTTCTGAGAACAACCGTTTGAATTGCATTGTCCCAACGTTTTGGTAATACTCTAACTGTCTTCAGGGACACATGGTGTACAAAACCTATTATTTATTTAGTTATTATACTAAATTATACTCTTTTCATACTTAATTATGGTCAACAAATATAATAACAGCACCAGCAAATAGATAATTTTAAAAACTTTTCCTGTACTATGTAATAATGAAAGAACCCCTCAAACTATCATAACTGTCATACTACAATGATCACATTCCAGACTAAGTACTATACAATAATACACGTAATATCAGGTGTTTTTAAAGTGAACAAACTTAAAATTCTAATCATGAATTGCTGTATTTTAAATTTAGATTATGTGCTTCTAATTATGCATTCAACAAACTAATTTAAACTTTTCAGAAATATGATTTGAATATAATTTATTCATAAGAGTCTGGGGCATTATACGTCTTGATGAGAGCTTAGAAGACTAATTATATGATAGGTAAATGCAGTCATAAGAGATCTTGTACAGTTTTTCCCTCCAAAGTAAATTTATTCATAAAATGCTCACTTTAGTAATCTTATTGAAAGAGAAAGAAAATTGTGTTTCATCAAATTTTACCAATATTAGGAATTAATTATATTTACTTTCTACCAATTTTCAATGTCTGATCCGACATATGCTGATGACCTTAAATTTATGGAATATTTCTAATACTGCTAGGAACAATATAATATGGATCTTGAAAAAAATGACCAGTAGGGATTCTAGATGAGGCCTGTATGTTTTATCACTGTTGGTTTTGAGAAATTAGTAAAAATAAAATTGTCAAAACCATGATATATAATAGTCATGTGATATGATTCCTTGCTGACAGAGGTACAGTATGTCACTTCAAGCTTCACTAGAAAAAAAAACCATCACAAATCATAACTACATGCTAGATTTTCAGGACAATTTTTTACCCAATTGGGTATGCCCTAGGCTGCTTCCATCCCCAGTCAGTTAAATTGTGCTATCTCTACTTTACACTTGTCTCCATCCATCATTTCATTATAGATTGAAACCAATACTGTGTATTATATGTAGACAATTATTACCTCCAAGAAAGGATATATATTCACTGCTGTCTTTCTGTCTGTCTGCAAGATTATGCAAAAACTAATGAATGGATAATCAGAAAATTTAGGAGAATGGTACATAATAATTAAAGAAAAGACATTTCAATTTTCAGAAGAAAGGTCAAGGTCATGGAAATTCAATTTTTTCCCCGTGAAAGAAAATAATGGATCATGAATTGTATTCATGCGGCCAGAGGTATGCTGCAGCGCTAAAGAAAATAATGCACCTGAATGTGACAGACGATTCCATGATTTCATTGAGGATATGCTGCAGCACTCAAGAAAATAATGTGCCTGAATATGATGGGCAATTCCATTAATTTCTTGAGGGTGTGCGGCAGCATTCAAGAAAATAAGGGAATTGCCTGTTGTATTCAGCACTCTATGGAGTGATGCACTCTAGGTTTATACTGTGCTTACAGTGCCACATAGCAAACCTGATTTGAATATTATGATTTCAATTCTCTCTTTATTATTTGGTAACTCAGGGGCGGGTCCAGGATTCAAAAGAGAGGGGTTCAAAATGTTTCCAAAAAACCCAAAAAGAAAGGGGGTCCGGGAAAATTTTCATTCCTAGATGGCCGGAAATGAGCTTCCCACCTTCTAAGGAGTCTTTTAAGACCTTTAAGTTCTTCAAAATATCAAAAGGTTTTACCCCTCTTAAAAAAAGGTCAGGTAATTTAATCTCATTTTTTAGGCCTATCATAGAGGGAAAAAAATCAAAGATAGACCTGAAGAACGCACTTTCGTACGGTACATAATTATTACGACGGCGAACCAAAATCAGTGTGTATAATTTATTTAAAAAACTAGTTGGGCTAAGCCTAGTTTGTCTGATCTTCCAACCTATGCCTGGGTAGGTTAGCATGCCTTTTGTAAGCCAGGACCCAGCTGTATTTTGTTACGCTTCTTCACAGGTGGGGGGGGGGTTTCATCCGAACCCCTTGAACCCCCTGGATCCGCCACTGCCACTGTACCTACTGCTATCTAATATTTAATTTAACATGATTTCCATTCTCTCATTATTATTTGGTACCTTATTGCTGTCAAATATTTAATGAGCTCCGGATGAACGATTCAGGACAGACTTTCTGACTTCTGCATATTGTTGTTATATTCAGGCACAGGGACTGCTCTAGTTTAACCATGATTTTAGATGATTTTATGAGCAAAGTGTAATATGGTAGTAGTAATAACAACCTTGCTTTAAAGGCTATAGAACCTAATTTAGCCATAGGGGAGATGCCGAAACAGGGAAAAATGTTGTCTAGTTGTGGGTCTGCAATGGCTTCATCAAGCTTAAAATGCATTTGTAACTCTTAAAATGAATGTGTTATTAGATCAGTAAGGTGACACTTTCTGTTTCACTATATAGGATCTTCACCTTTAGTTTAAATGGTTAGGATACAAACTGTGGAATATTGCCCAACATTGCTTTCACGATAAAGCAATTCTGAGAGTTTATTGCAGGAGAAAATTTATTTTTAAGAGGTAGAGTTAAGAGAACTAAAAGGGTAAAAGCCTTGCAGATCAACAATTAATGCTATTCTACACTAATGTTCTAATGAAATGGTTACAAGGATCAAACGATATCCACACAAAAAAAGAAGAAAACAAGTCATTTAGAGGAAATGTGCAACTTGTAGCAACATGTTATATGTAATAAATAGCAAATATTTTGCGCTGTTTTCATTAGAGTAATGTTGTAAAAGTAAGTGCTGCAAAATTGACATATTCCTATAAAATCCCTACTTCAGAATGATAATTATCATCATTTATACTTATAATATAAAGCACTTCACGACTAGAAATCATATGCACAACTGAAAAGAAATGAAAAATGATGGATTTTAATTTTAGATTAGGAGATTAGGACATTTGGAAACGGCTCAAGGAGAGTAATGATTCAATGTACATTCAAATTAACTTGAAGATTGAAAAACCCAGTGACAGAATCCATTAGGTTTGAGTTATTGTTGCAATATTTAACAGTGTACAAACACATGGTACAAACACTAGAAATTAAACCAAGCAGAACATGAACCCATGGATTAATTTCACATTACAATGTAGATATCATATTGTAAAAGGATTGCTTTTAATTACATCATGTACCATGTGTGGATCGTCTGTAACATGCAAATTTGTTACTGAAATGAAGCTGCTCAATGTTAGTATGAATGAACCAGTCCATAAAACAGTATTATTTAGAAGATTTACCCTACAGTTGGCTCTGTTTTAGCAGCTAGATGCAGTACCATAAAGAGAATAAAGAGCAGCAAAAAGTGGATTTCCGACAGTGAAATAGCCTGGAGGTCGTCTTATATGCCCAACATGTCATCTGAATATCTCTCAAACTTGGGGTCGTCTTGTACGCAGATCGCCAATTTACGCAAGAATGTACGGTACTATTTGTTGACTCTTAAAGCAGTGCATATGATCCCCTTGTGCATGAGCACCCATCACAGTCCATAATATCAAAGTTATAAAGTTTTGGGTGGTTCATGTGAGCTTTAGTGAGTCAAGATTTGAATTGATTAACAGACTTCGCTATTTCAACAGACCTTCGCAAAGCCGATGTTCGTGTGATTGTGTGTTTCTTTACTTATCAGGTGCTTGGTGCTTGCAGCGGTACGGCAAACCTGCTCATGGCTGACGCTGTGCATCTTTGTATCTAACATGTAGTGTGGTGGACCTTTCCCATTTGACCTTATCTCTCCTGTTATACTGCTACTTAATAGGTCAGCTTTTGCTAACAGAACCAGAACCAG